CAAAGCTAGCGTTAGCTGGCTAACTGACGTTATTTTGCCGCTAAACTGCACGATATAAAACGGTGGTCTTCAAAGCGGATTTAATCCTCAATCACAATAATAATATTCAAAGTAATACTGGGCAAGTAATGGGCCAAACTTACCGTTGATTGACACGCCATGTCAGCGGACTGGTAGCGACACGAACCGTTAGCCCCGCAGTAATCCGGTTCGACTTGACTGTGGCTGTGACTGACCCGAGCCTCGTCGTTCTGATAGCTCCGCCCCTTCGCTCCAACCCCCCTCCCTCCCCCCACATCTACAGATGAAAATTACTTTTGCAACACATTTATCGCAAGAAGTGTAGCAAAAGTCGATTTATACTGCCACAGAGCAGATTCGTCAAGTTGTAATGACTGATTTGAGAGGTTGTAATAACCAAGTTGCAGTTGTAATGGAAAATATATTTTAAAAAGATGTATTTTTCTGCAAGTGAATATTTCATCACTAAGTTCTTTTTTTCTTTCTACAAGCTACAAAACTTTTTTTTTTCATCTGTGACTTCAAATTTGGTTCACAGTGACGTGGATATTTTATACAAGTGTAAATTTGGTTCACAGTTATGTGGATATTTTATACAAGTGTAAATTTGGTTCACAGTTACGTGCAGGGATGCAAACTCATCAGATATGAAAAAGGTGACAAGGATGCGAGCCCCCCAACCCCACGGAATATCGGCTTTAAAATGAGGAATAACAGGATGTTAGCAGTCAGAACAACTAAAGCAGCAGTTAGTAATAACAGAAACGCCAAAGAGTCACATCTAATAGAAATATATAAAAGCATTTATTTTTAATTGTGGAGCAGTCAGTTTATATTTTTGGCAGCACTGTTGAGCATTTTGAAAATGTATTTTCATGCCTCTGTGCAAGGCTTAGTCTTTCTATCTGTATAGCCACTGGTGTAAAGTAACTCAATTAATAAACTCAACAAGTACTATACTTGGGTACAATTTTGAGATACTTGTACTTTATTTAAGTATTTCAATGTTTTGCTGCTGTGTTCTTCTTCTCCTCTACAGTTCAGAGGAAATTGTGTACTTTTCCTCCACTACATGTATTTAATACCTTTAGTTACTTCACAGATGTGGGTGAATGATGTGAAATCTAATCAAGTGTTAAATCAGACTTTAGTTCCACCTGGAGTAAATCCACAAGCTACCCTGCAGTAGGGATGCCAGCGATTATTTGATTAATCGTTACAGTGTCCATAATCGAATATTATTTTTAAAAATCGATTTTATTTATATGTTTTTTTATTATTATTTATGTTTTTTTTTTTCTGGCTTAGTTTCAACCAAAATATAGACTAATGCTAATAATAGTAATAGTATTAACAATTGTAAATGGCCATTGGTCACACCACCAGTTCGTTTTACTGTAAACTTGGAGGAAGCCTGCGTGCAGAGCAGACAGAGCACACGCTACACACCGCCCCCACCCTCCCTCACACGTGCGACTAAAGATGAACAAAGCGGCCAGTAAAAAGAGGGGGGGGGGGGGGGGGGGGGGGGGCTGCCGAATAATCGATTTTGATCATGGTCAGTTTCTGGCAACCCTACCCTGCAGTATACAAAGTCATTCAAACTAGCTGCACCTTTACCAGCTTTGAGAACACTTTCATGATCAATCATTATAAAACATATCATATATATTATTCTGAAATGGACCAATCTGCACAACGACTACTTTTACTGTCGCTACTTTCACTATATTTTGATGATAATACTTTTCTACTTTTACTTGAGGAACATTTTGAATGCAGGACTTTTACTGTAACAGAGTATTCATACACTCTGGAACTTCTACTTTTACTCAAGAACAAGATCTGAGTACTTCTACTTTTACTCAAGAACAAGATCTGAGTACTTCTACTTGTAATCAAGTACAAGATCTGAGTACTTCTACTTTTACTCTAGTACAATATCTAAGTGCTTCTACTTTTACTCAAGTACAAGATCTATACTTATACCAACTCTGTTTATAGCCTATGAAAAAAACTATTAGAAAACAAAGGCTAAAGCTAACGTTAGCAGATAGTGAAAATGTATGCTAGTTAGCCAGCTCAACGATAATATTGCGACAGAAACACTTTTCAGTGCACATCACGCTCTGCCGCTCCGACAGGGAGCCCTGCTCTGAACACCTGAACGGCCCGTTCTAACAGCAGTTCACCAGCGGTCCAGTATGTGCCACAGTGACTCCGGACCACAGTTAATATTAACGAACGCACCCGTAGGTAATGTAGCTGAGCACTGAAGCTAGACCATCATCGCGGCCGCAGATTACTCCGGGTCCCAGACCCCCCCATACCCCAAAAATATTTTTATTGCAGATCTACATGAATCACACACACACAACCTATTTTGGATTCAAAATGGCGAATTTCGCCGAAAGGTGACAAGTTTGCATCCCTGTAAGTGTAAATTTGGTTCACAGTTACGTGGATATTTTATACAAGTATGCACACAAGCTCAGATTTTTTTTCTGCAAGTGCTCACATCAGATTTTACACGCTCTCGCATTTTGCACCATATCTACCTTCATATTATGAAGACATATCTGACATTTCCACTGGGTGACTAATTTCAATTGATGTTGACACCATCTCAGTACTTATCGGACCTCCTCCATCCCTATACCCCTTCTCGGAGTATGCGGTCCTCAGACACGGGCCTGCTCTCCATCCCCCGCTCTCGCCTCCGAACTGTTGGTGACAGGGCATTCAGTGTTGCGGCCCCCACCCTCTGGAATGCACTTCCTGCCGAGATCCGTAATGCTGCCTCCCTGGACATCTTCAAATTATCACTAAAAACACACCTGTTCACCCTGGCCTTCGGGCCCTAGCCCTTTTCTGGTCCCCTGGCTTCCTTTATTTATTTCTTTAGTTTGCCCGTTGATTGTCTGTTTTGTTTGTCCACCATGTACAGCGACCTTGGGTCCCTTGAAAGGCGCTAAATAAATATCATTTATTATTATTATTATCTCACAACACTCCTAAAATAACATTACTTTCTGAAGCACAATTTAAAATGTTTGCTGTTTAAAATCTCAAATTAGATCTATTGTCCATCTATATTTTGATTATTATTTAATGGAAACTGTCCATAATCAAAGAGTCATTCGAAGTCAATCAAATACTTATTTCACTTCAGGGTGATAGCAGAACACCCCATCCAGTCAATCAGAGAAAATCAGGACAATCTGATGTAGAGTTTCAAAATAAAATACTTTTGAAATCTCATATCTGGGCTATCGTCCTTCTGTTTTTATACAAGAATAAATAAAAAAACGGTCAAATTATCAAATACTTATTTCACTTCAGGGTGATAGCAGGACACCCCATCTAGTCAATCAGAGAAAATCAGGACCTTTGTAGTCTCATATATGAGCTATCGTCCTTCTGTTTGTATCCAACAGTTAAAATGTTAGAATTACATTGAACCAGAATTGTCCCCCTTTTTTCTTTAACAGTGAAGAAAATTGGATATGTTAATGAGATTTTGACAGCAAAACTAAAAATTAGTCACCTTATCTTAACATCCCGATAGCAATGAATATATTAAATGCTTTGACAATAAATACATAAAAAAAAGACGGGAGCACGTTGATACGACCTTCCAAACCGGAGTTCTGGCCGCATTTTACAATAAACTTCCGTTGGGTCGCTTAAAAACAAATATCGCAATTCGAATCGCAATATTTGTCAGAAAAATCGCAATTAGATTTTTTCCCAAAATCGTGCAGCCCTAGACTACAGTCAAGATAGTCCTGTCAGTCTGAACCAGGGCTGTACCTGATTGGATACACTGGGGTCAGCTAAGAGTCGGCACTTGAGGTCAGTGATTTTCTCTTGTGTGGCTGCTGACAGATCTGTCAGCTGAGGAGTCAATCCCACAGCACGCAGTAGAAGGAGCTGTATGAGCGTCCGGTTATAAACTAGATTGTACCATAATGCATCCCTGTTCTCTGTTTAAAGAAAACACCCATGTCTTTTCACATGGAACGACAAACTGCTGAGGTAGACAAAATAAGGGAAATTATGTTAAAGAAACACTTCCGACCATCACTTAATCCTGTCACTGTACCATTCTGTATGATGAAATGTTGGGTCCTAGAGCGAATTCAGAGCATGAAAATCTCCAGGACCTTGCAAAGTAAATTTAGGGAGGAATCAACTTCAAATGTTATAGATCCAAGAGTAATCTCTGTCTCAAATTGGTAAGGGCTTCATCAGAATTAGTATTTCTGTTGTTGAACATTCTGCGGTCTGTTTTTTTCTACTAGCAAACCGCTGCTAAGGATATCAGACTGTTACTATCAGGACACTCTGATCAAGGGACTATGTGCAGTCATATCAATATGCAGAAAGAAGTCCGGTCAAGTTAACATTAGCTTTGGCCAAAAATAGAACAACCTCCGTAAATCACAGTGGAATACTTACATGCTACAGTGTTATCATTTGACTTTTGTTTTAATTTAACATTTTCACTCATTTAAAATGGGTGACAGCATCACAATTCTTATACTGTACATTAGAAGATACAGTAGGTCTGAAACAAACTACAGTAATGGCTGCACATTCGTTATTTCCTCTACATTGCATCGCCCAATAATAACACTGCATGAGCACTAGAGTTGAGCTGCTAACAGAATTAGATAGTACTTTTTGCGTTGTGCAGCTGTTTCTATCAAAGTTTGTTTTTTAGTTGGCAATTGTGAAACAAGACTTGTTTGTACAAGTAAATGGTCTTATGCGAAGGCATTCTACATAACTGTACAATGGAAAAAGTGCACTGATTCAACTGATAGAATGTGAACCAACCCATGATTCAATATCCATATTAAGGGGGCAGTACTGGTCTGCACAGAGTTGGCAGCTCAACATAAATACGTAATCATGATCTCCCCCTGGAAAAAGTGCAGCTGGGAAGGTTAATGATGAGAAAGTGATTTTTCTACCTTTTTAGAGGTCTTCTTGATGGCCCTGGAGGCTTTGCTCAGGGTGCTGTCCATATCCTTGGTGCTGACCTGGAGCTTGTCAGGGTCTGTGCTCTGAATCAGGTCCTCCTGGTAACCACACAAAACACAGCTTCAAACTCAATGCAATAAATCATGCCCAAAAGTGTAAAACTCATGCAATCAATGCAGATACATTATGATTTAGTTGCAGGAGGGGGTGTGTAGTAGGATTCAAGCAGACACATTGTCTTTCTCTCACACCCCCCACCCTGCAGTGGGCTTGTTAACAAGCAGGGCTCCATCTCGTTGGTATTCACAGTGTAGCGCTGACCCAGTGAAACAGCATTAGGAATGCAGCTGCAACATGGAGCAGACTGGAGGCCAACATCGCCCCCTGCTGCTTCTCTGCTAAATATAGCAGGCAGCCTCCCCTCTATGTCTTCCAGTGGACTCATTAGGCCTAATCAGGCCTTCCATCATTTCCCCAAACCAGGGTAAATCAAGAGATATTCTATGTTTCTCTTATTTAAATAAATAAATAATGTACATCATAAAAAATAACTAGGAATGGGTAAACCTTAAAAAATAAGCATGTATTCTACTTTGCTGCCTTTTGTTCAGTACCTTTTTTTTTTTTTCAAACACAGGGCTCTGTCTCAGGTCAGATCAGGTCCATTTAAATGTGGCAAGAAAAATAGCTTGACAGAAGAAGTTTAGAGTGTCCATAACATCCATACAAATTTGTTCACACCAGGAACAAATGGATAAATGTGATCCTGATCAAGACCGCATCTTTTCAGCCTACTAACGTTTCAACTGTGTGTCTGGACAATGGTTTGGGGATGTTTAAAAAAATGTCCACCAAAGAAGGATTGTGTGAAAGCCTAAGACTGTACCAATAGGCGCGTTCACACCGCAGTACTTTTCCAACTTTAGTTCTGATATAGTTCGGAAATGTTGCATTCACACCAAACTAAAATTAGTTCATGAGAACCTTTTTACCCCCTTTTCCGTCCCTGCTAGAGAGCAGGGACTTTTGTGGGAGAAAAAGGTTCCTATTTCTGATTGGCTGGGGGCCACGCCCCGTAAAACTCCCAAAAGGTTTTGTGATGCTGCCATTTTATTATCCTCGCATTAGCATTATTAGCATTAGCCCAGCGCACCAACGGAGAGAGACTAACTTATGGCAACACAAAAGAAAACATGGGAGTGGTGGAGATGAGGAGGTGTCGGAGTTCTGGCGATTTACTCGGAAGGCTTCAGTAGAAGCTGCTGGGAGTCCCAGCAGCTTCTACTGAAGCCAGTCCCCAACTTCGGGGACTTCCGGCCGGGGACTTTGGGTGGCAGTATACGCCGTGAAGTTGTTTGCGGCCTGCCAGTAAACCCAAAGCAGAAGAAGAAGAAATGACGTCAGCGGCTCCATTTGCCTAATCCACCCCCAGGCAGGGCTCTCGACTAACTTTTTTCACCATCCTCCCGGAACCGTCCCGAAATACAATCTAGCCGTCCCGAAATTAATGTGGACCGTCTCGAATTTAAAATGTTAGTTTTTCTACATTATCATTAGTTAAAATCATTCAAAGTGACCTTTAACATAAATAAAACATCATACAAATCATTAGATGATAATTCATCAACCTTTTTATTTGAGTAAATCATTCAATCACATAAACAAAGGCCAAATATATTTAAACAAACACACAAACAAGAAAATTACTCTAATATTGAATCCAATCAAGTCCCATCCAATTAACAAAAAAATCCAACACTGTGTCCTGAAGACAGAACCCAGAGTAACCACTAACCAGGATGACAGTCTGTAACACAGTCAGGAGACCTTTACAAACGGCCCCGCCCCCTCGCACACAGACGGGAGAGAGAGAGATCTCGTCTGGATTGGATGTTGTAGTCTTATTGCATATTAGAAACGGAGTTGGCGAAACTAAAACTGCGATATAATGTGTATGTAGCAATAATACATATGACAAATATTTTTTAAATGTCTCCAGTACCGATAAAAAGTTAGATAACGTCGGAGCTTAACGTTACCACTGTCTTTAATAATTCCCGTTTAATACCGGGGCTCGGTACCCATCCCTACATGGGGAGAGGCGCAGCATATTGCTAAGGACTAAATACGATGGAGAGTTCTCATCTCAGCCTTATTACCCATAGGGGATGAAGAGGAGTAAGTAAATAAAGAGGCCGGCGCTCCAGGGTCTGGTTCTGCTGTGCGTTTTTGTGATGTAACGATAAAACATTTCAGAATTCCTCCACGGGATGCCATTGTACATCACTCAACCCGCGAAATACACACACTCAGTACATAGCTAGACCCGCAAATTCGCGGGCACAGCTGTAGCTACGTGTGTGTATTTCACGGGTTGCTAAATGTTTTGTACGTGTGTGTTTATGTTGACAAGGAGGTTTAATAACTGTGTGCTATACAAAACGTGCAGTCGGTTTCATTTTCATCGCCGTTTGTAGTAGAGTTAGCAGGGTATTTTTATTTTAACTCTCGTCCCAAAATAATTTGTTATCCTCCCCGACACTATTTTTTTTGGACCCGGGACGACGGGACGTCCTTAAGCTCGAGCCCTGCCCCCAGGGACTTATTCCGGTGTGAACGCGATCTGTACTTAGTTTGTAAACTGTACCCTGTACATTATGTTGTAGGTCATCCTTATTGTTGTTCTGTTGTTTTTATGTTACATGTGTAACTAATGTCCTGCAGGTCACCCTTGAAAAAGAGATCTTTTGATCTCAAGGGGCTTCACCTGGTTAAATAAAGGCTACAAACAAATGAGAACTAAAGAGTTCTCATGAACTAAGTTCTGATGAACCTTTGTGGGAAAAGTACTGCGGTGTGAATGCGCCTAATGTTTTTTGGAGGAAAGAGCGTATTTACTGTAAACTGATGTTGCGAATAACACAGCTATCAGAGCTTCCTTTACTACAGCAGTATGTCAAACTACCTATGTCCTTTACTCTGTGTCTGTGTCTGTGTCTGTGTCTGTGTGTGTGTGTGTGTGTGTGTGTGTGTGTGTGTGTGTGTGTGTGTGTGTGTGTGTGTGTGTGTGTGTGTGTGTGTGTGTGTGTGTGTGTGTGTGTGTGTGTGTGTGTGTGTGTGTGTTTTAGGCTTCTCACCGCATCAGTCTTGCAGATGGTGTTGGCGACGTGGCGGCAAAGTGTTCGCAGCCAGGCAACTTTAACTGTTTCCTCTCCAGCCAGTTGGAAGCTGAACAACAGGTTCTCCTGTTCGGTCGGAGGGTGAACCACCAGGGCAAACGCATTCGCACACTCTGAAGGGAGGGGAAAGAGCGGGAAAAAAGACTGGCAGTTAGAGAGTGAATGAGACAACTTGGTAACCTTACCAGCGATAAAAAAGGGAGAAAACAAATTGTGTCAGTGAGGAGAAAGAAGTTAATAGAATGGAATTGAAAACGGATGAAGAGAATAGAGGCAGGGTATTTGACCGAGATAAAGAAATGAAAGACATAGTGAGGGATAAAATATATATATTTTCTATAATATTTGGGACAGCTGCATTATTCTTTATCCAGGCTTTTTACACGGCTTTGATTAAGACTTGCTGATTGATCAATTTCAAACATTCTTAAGTCTGCTCTTTTTTCCCAATAAAGTGACTAAGTGCAGTCAAATCAACCAGCAGGTTAACCAAGCTCAGATTGTTAGTCTTCATTGGGATTCACGGAGCCCATGTGTAGGCACACTAAAATATAGTTGAGCAGTGAAGATGTAACATGGGAATTAAAAAAGTATAAGCCACTTCCAATTTTGTGGCCATGGCGAATTGCAACACCAAACCAATAATCAGTCACATTTATTTTATTATAACATACATTTAAAATACCTTAAATAGTCATATTAGAATTTCAGACAAATCATTACTGGTTTGGTGTAAATAACATTATCGCTGACAAATTTCCTCACCATTCTGCCATTATATTTTGTTCTGTAATTGCCAATTGATTTAATTTAATTTTAATTAGGAAAAACACTTTTCAGTGACTCGAATATGGCAATGAGAGCTAAATTAACCATGTTAAAGAGTACATAATATGCTCCAATTCAAATTTGTATTTTGGGAGAATGTGTGAGAGAAACTCCCTCTGGAGGGAACACAGGGATTTTTGCCTTTGCAGACCATTTACATGCACTAAAACCTAAAGAACACATTACAGGAAAAATAAAACCTCAGAAAGCATATGAGACAATGGAAAATAAATTCAACTGTGTATTAGTTTGTCATTGTTTCAACCTGGTGCTGTACTATATGGACACTCTTGTGAACAATAGCGTCCAGATAGAGCTGACATGCAGATGAAGCGATAAGCAGTAACCATTAGTTTGACGTGTGTGTTGTTGCTGTGTTACCCTCTGTGTCCTGCAAGTCCAGCACTCTCCGAATCTGAGACAACGGCATCAGTGCGATGTGTTTGAGCGGGGGTGGAGGTCTGGTCTGTCCCAGAGGGCTCTTAAACGTATTGATCACCTTTTTTCGTTTCCTCGCAATCTGCAGAGAGGCACACACAGCCACAAAATGAGACGGCAACTTTGGAGGTAAAAGTGAAGAAGGGCAACTTGTGTGCGTGTGTGTTTGTCTGTGTGTGGGCCGCGGCGACTTAGAATTGAGTGTGGGTCCATTTTTGCTGTGTGTTGCTAAAGCTGCTATCGGCTACTTGGCCGATCAATGAGCCCTTCATAGAGGTAAACGATGCAACTCATTAATGCCAAGGTAATTAGAAGCTGAGAGAGACGAAATAATGGGGGGGAATTAAAATAGGACACTACATCATAGGTCATTGTTGTTTTAGCAGTGCAAGTGAAGAGGGTGAGAGTGGTTATATGAATACAATCAATGCGTAGTAATGATGGAGGGGAGTAGCGAGTCGACCCATTATAAGATCACTCAATAAACACACAAGACGACATGGAAGGTGGCAGAAATCCAACACACACACACAGATCACATTTTCAGTATTGCTGCTTGTGGTGGAAATTGTAATTCCCTAAGATAAATGTATAAATGATTCATAAACAAGTTTGTCTTTTGTTATATTTAGAAATAAAGTCAAAGTCCAAATACAATTGAATTTGATCTCAAAAACAGAAACAGAGCAACTTCATCCTCAGAGGATAAAGAGGTTCTGTACCACGATCACCTATCCCACCATATACAATATAATAAACAGAGTAAAAGGCAATCAGAGTATAAGACATATATATCAGTGATTCCCACAGCATGTTAATACTTTGGGGGGCCCCCAAAGTATAATGGCTCCCCCCAAAGTATAATTTGTGTGTTTTTTGTTTTTTTTTACTCAGTGAGCACTCATTTGCATTTGCATTGGTGGCAATGAGTGCTCAGTGAGTAAAAAAAAACTTAAAAAACCATAAATTATACTTTGGGGGGAGCCACCCATAAATTATACTTTGGGGGGAGCCATTATACTGGTAAACAGCCTCTATGGGCGCGAGTCCAGACCCACTTTTGTTATCAAATGATGACGTCAGTGGGATTATCTCCTTTATCAACTCCTAAGCATCCCCGGGACAACATCACTAGCCCCGCCCCTAAAAAGGTGTGAACTTGAGCCAATCAAGGACTACTACTACTAGGTCGTCCTTAGACGAGTTTGCCAACGGGTTCGCCAATCCTCACGGTCCTCCATACACCCGGCCAGCTCTGTGGAGCTTTCCACCCCCACATCCTTCCTCAGCACCTCCACGTATGTTGGCGTGGGGCGCCCTCTTGGTTGGTGCCCGTGTGTTGGCTCCCAGAGTACTAACTTGCCAGCTGGAAGTTCCTGGTGTCGATGGCAGTGACCTGCAAATTTCAGTTTCCTGGATGCCACCTTGTCACTCAGCCTGGGTAGCCCACCAGGACTAGCCCCGCTCCTAAATTTCACCAGTTTGTATATAGTTAAAATAAAGTTATCCGGTGATTAACGATCAGATACCAGTGTGGAGTTTTCTGTCTTAAATTTGATATAGATCATGTTCTTTGTTGGTTTGTGAGGATGTTCATACACACTTGGGTAAGATGTGTGTGTGAAAGAAGACCACAAAAAACAGCAGTGACTGCTCTCAGCTGTTTAACACTTAAAGACCTAGACACCATCACCAGTTGTAGGTTGTCTGAAGTACAGTGTTACTATGAAAATGCACTAGAATGCAGGAATTGAGAAAAAAAATTTCAACATTTTTCACGGGGGGGGCACGCTCCCCCGCAAATCAACCCCCCCCCCCCCCCCCCCGAGTCGTTCCCCCAAAGTATATTTCATTTATGCGGGAATCACTGTATATATATATATACACATACACATACATCAGTGTTTCCCCTATATACAAATAGCGGCTTATGTGGATTTGTAGTATTTGTGTTACTGTATGTTCAATAAAGGTGTATTTTGCAAAATCTTGAGACATTGCCACCGTATGTACTAGGCCTCAAGAGCCTTTCTTGTGCTGGCAGACATATAGAAACATATTGGTGGGGCGCAGTTCTCACGCATAGAGAACTGCGCACCGCCAATATATATGTATATATATATGTATATATATATATATATATTAGGGCTGTAAAACAATTACAATTTTTAATCAGATTAATCACAGCTTAAAAATTAATTAATCATGAATAATCACCATTCGAACTATGTCCAAATATGCCATTTCTTTATGTATATTGTTGTGGGAATGGAAAGATAAATGAAAGAAGGCGGATATATCCATTTAACATACAGTATCTATGTTTATTATAAAAAAAATGTCTGCATGTCAAAATGAAAGACAGCCCACACACCTATCAATCATCAAACCGTGGGGTCTTAATTCATTACGTGTTGATTTCTAACAACGGGGGAGTACTTCAGGAAAGTCGACAGGGGGGGGGGGGGGGGGGGGGGGCTAGTGGAGTACTTCCACAGAGTGTGAAACGTTGTGATCAGCTGTTTTAGCGCAGTTCTCCAGTGAAGGGGGGGGGAGTCTCCCTCCGCAGCCGGTTGGCCTAGTTTTGGCACAATTCCGTTGTACAGACCGACGTTAACAGCAGCCCTGTCTGTGCACACGGAGACCGACTCTGTCGTCCGGTGATCTAACCGCCTTCTGGAAAAGCTTCACAAGTACGTCGGTACGCAAATGCGCTTTGTGACACAAGTGACGGTACGCATTTCAGATTACGCACATAACCTGCGTGCCAGTTATGTGCAACCATGTACTACAGCAAAAGTATTCTCCGTCGGGACTTCCTGCAACAACACCACGCCGTTATCTTGATTCTGATTGGCCAGAAGACATTATCAAAGATGTTCTATTGAGAAGACGATCACTACGTGACAAAAGTTTTCAAAACCGTTTCTGGTCTTCGGTATTTCCAGACAAGTGGCTACTGAAATCAATCTTACTAACTGCTGTCTGTGCAATTCTCGGCGCGAGTTGGCGGACTTTATTTTGCTTATTTTAACATCATTTTTCATGGTGGTACTAAGCCATTTATTGGTATGGGTGTAGCCTACCCCAGCCATACCCTGTCGCTGCCACTGGTGGGATGTATCCATTCTGCACATGCGTTAAATGCGTTAAATATTTTTAACGCAATTAATTCAAAAAATTAAATACCGCCGTTAACGCGATAATTTTGACAGCATTAATATATATATATATATATACACACTGAACAAAAATATAAATGCAACACTTTTGTTTTTGCTCCCATTTTTCATGAGATGAACTCAAAGATCTAAAACATTTTCTATATGCACAAAATAACCATTTCTCTCAAATATTGTTCACAAATCTGAAAAAATCTGTGACCTATATATATATATATATATATATATATACATACATACATATACATATATATATACGTATATGGTGTAAGCTAAGGGGTTCGGCCCGAATGTTACATTTAAAAATATTGGATGTAGTTGATATCCATTGTATTCTAAATTCAACACTACACATCTAAACTGCATCCCGAAAGCCAAGAAACAGATATAAGTGCTATCTGATTCAATCTTTTGGTAGGTCTTAAGCTGCCTTCACATGACGAGCTGTAAAACGGCTCTGAACTGACATTACATTTTTTTTGAGCTTCACCGCTCAAAATGATTTATACATTATTTCAACTTTGACCTCGATTACCGCTGATCTTTCAACCCACAACCAATCAGACAACAGCTAAATGTAGCGCATAAAAACAAAACTGAACCCCCCATTTTCACTGCAAGGCTCTCTGTCCAACCTAGCAAAAGGTGAAAATCTGTTGACATGATTTAGCATATCTCTGCTTTCTACAATCCCGTCAGATTGCATGGTTTTTGACAGACAGCACTCACTGAATATTAGGGATGCTACTAGGGCTGTGCAATTAATCGTATTTTAATCGCGATTACGATTATGGCTTGCGACGATTAGGAAAACAGCATAATTGACAAAATACGATTATTTTGCTGGGTGCGCTTTCGCCCCTCCCTAAAAGCCCACTCGGCCACGTGGGAGTGACATGTGTTGTGAGTGTTCAGCGCAAGCGAAGATGTCAGAACAAGAGCAGCAACTAGTTAAAAAGAAGGGTCGCGGGGAGATTCCCAGTCGATCGCGAGATGTGTCTAAAAATAGAACAACAATATTCTGTTTTATCGTTAATGTCCTGTAACATAATGTTCCCGTGCCAGAATAATGCACTTGAACGCATCAAAGCTTTGTGATTGGCCGGCCTCACCCCATGTGTCCGGGCGTGGCTGGTGAGCAGTGCACTAGTTCGCTGACGTTGTCCGTGTCAACAGCATGGATGGTCAACAGGAGTGACAGTCCGCACACACACAAGACCGCAATTATGGCAGAAGCAAAAAAGCCCAAAATATATAATTTTCACTCCGAGTGGGAGGATCATTATTTTTGTATCTATTCCAATTCAAAGTCCATCTGTCTCATCTGCAATGCGAGCGTGGCTTTATCGAAGAAGGGTAATTTAGGAGCGGCATTTCAAAACAGTGCACAAACGCTACGAGACGGAATTCCCTCCTAATCTGCCCTACGCTCCAAAAGGGGAGGGGCCTGAAAGGACAGCTAAATGCACAGCAGTCCATTTTCACCAATCAATCAATCAATCAATCAATGTTTATTTATATAGCCCAATATCACAAATGTTACATTTGTCTCAGTGGACTTTACAGTTTGTACAAAATATCAGTATGACAATACGACACCCTCTGTCCTTAGACCCTCACATCGTACAAGGAAAAACTTCCGGAGAAAACCCACAGTTTAAAGGGAAAAATGGGAGAAACCTCAGGGAGAGCAACAGAGGAGGGATCCCTCTCCCAGGACAGACAGACGTGCAATAGATGCCGTGTGGCCAGGTCCAACAAGAGCAAGGCTGCTCCCATAGCATCTTATCGTGTCAGTCACATTCTTGCGAAACACATGAAGTCTTTCAAAGACGGCAAAGTTATGAAATAAGCTTTCCTGGAGGCTGCGACGCGCTTTTTGGGGACAGTAAAAAATAACAGCAGCATTTCAACAAGTTTTTGATATATTAAAAACTCAATTTAGATACCGTTATTAATCTGCTGTAAGTTTTAGTTTGTTTGAATTTATTCATGATAATTATTGTACAAAATGGTATAAGAATGCAAACATTAAGATCTGTTCTGTTTAAATTGATTATAGTCTATCAGTTCAGAAACTAGTGTTGCTTGCATCCTATTTTAAAGGCATTTCTTTTTATACTCTAATAAAATGCAACAAAAATGGGTTTGATTCTATTAATGTTGTCTTTTTTATTGCACTGTTGCTGCAGCAGATTACTGTGTAGCTTCAGATCTGAGTTGTCTTATTAGTAAGCCTAATTTATACTTTTGTAGCAACACTATTTTGATATAATGGCAAAGAAAGGGTTCTTCAGAGTCTTTTCTTTTTTTCCTGTGTCATATGTGGCAGCACTGCCACAAGTTCCTCTTCAGAGAGGGTCTTCAGTACAGGTGGCAATATCGTCACCTGCCTGCGCTCATCTCTGAAACCAGACCATATAAACAGGCTGGTGTTTCTTGCAAAACATCTTTAAGAGATGACATAAGCAGCCCTACCAGCATTTGCCATGGTGGCCTAAACATTTTTATTTGGTCTTAAATTGTAGTTCAACATTTATTTCCTGTTACTTCTGGACCATGACGGTTGGCCAGCCTTCAACGTTTAACTGAGTGGAATATGTTGAATATATTTTACCAAAATGTTGGCTATATGTTAAGGAGTTTTCAGTAGGTTGTGACAGTGCACTGCAACATGTTTGATTTCATTTATTTTGGTCTAATTTATTTTTATTTATCATATTAATAATATATGTTTAGTATGGTTTTGGAAGTGCACTCCAACACATTTATTGATCTTGTTTATTGGTAAAATATTATTTGTTTTAAAGTTCAATAAATGGTTAATGAATAATCGTCAAAATAATCGTGATCTCAATTATTGACCAAATAATCGTGATTATGATTTTTGCCATAATCGCACAGCCCTAGATGCTACGATCGCCAATTTTGGGGCCGATCGCCGGAACTCAGTTAATGGGGCTCATTCACTGGAGCTTTCACAAACAACAACCAACATAATTATTACATTCAAATGAAGTACATTATTCAAGTTTACATTAACTTTGGATAATAACACGGGAGAAATGAGCGGAAGCGCTCTCTTTTCCTCTCTCCCTCTCCTGACAGCCTGTCAGTATCTCGTGCAGCTCACTGATCCAGTAATGAGTGATCCGACAGTGAAGAATACATATATTTATAACTAGTTTAGCTTGTTCCAGAGGTAGATAAAATAGCTAAGTGTGTTAGGTCTAACTCTTGTGTGTGTGTTGCTCCGCTCACCGGTCCGTCACAGGATTTGTGCTTCACACAGGTTGCATACCGCTATTTTATTGTCTTTTTTGGACACCTTAAAATACTGCCAGACTCGTGAAGCCATTTTGGCGAGCTTGTGATCGGCTCTCCCGATAGGCATTTATAGAGCGCACCGATCGATCGGCAGAGAGTGAATATCGGCCGATATCGATCGGCGGCCGATCAATCGGAGCATCCCTACTGAATATATTTAGAAAATAATGCTCAAGTACAAATACAAGTAAGGAATATTAAAAGGAAACACTGGGCCTAATTCAGATACCTGTAATATGTTTGCTGTCTGTAAATTCATAGCATCACCAACCGGGTAAATGATGTGTTCTGTCTTAGATTGTCAAATGTTTATTGGCGTTTGTGTGCATTCTCACCTCGAGGCAGTCATTGAAGAGGAAGAGTGTGACATGTTCCCCGCGATCACAAGGCTGGTCTCCCAGGGCGATGGTTTCTACTCGATAAACCAGGCTGCGGTGGGAGGACAGCAGGTTGGCCTGCAGAGAGCACAAAGAAAGTTAGAGGGAAATGTGGAAAAAGGTGGCTGAAACCAAGAGAGATTAGGGTGGAAAAGGGAAAATAAAACAGGAGCAGTGAGGATGGTGACAGTTGCAGATGCGGCAAGAAGTATCAGCCAAGAAATTAGCCCGATGAAAGAAACACACTGCACAACATCAGAAAAGGATGCAAAATAATTACGATTGCAGCCCACAACGTCTACCTACTACCCAACCAGACCAAAAGTCCCTAATATGTAAGTTACAGCCCGAAGAACAGAGAGAGGAGAGTCAGGATAGTAGGGATGGGTACCGAGCCCCAGTATTAAAGGGGCCCCGGGGCTGAATTATTAAAGACTAGGGATGTAACGATATACCGAATATACATTTTTTTAAAACACTTTTTTTTGTTTTAAACCTTTATTTAACCAGGTGGTCTCATTGAGATCATCGATCTCGTTTTCAAGAGAGACCTGTCCAACATGGCAGCAAGTAGGTTACAACATGAACATAAAACAACCGAACACAAAAGGACATCGTATTTACAGGGCTACATTTACACACCTAGAGACATTGACAAGTACCAACAGTATATTTATATCTCGCCCTGTCAATAAGCCTCACCTTCTTGGCAAAAACTGTATTGTTTTTGAAGTGGTGGAGAGACAATGCACAGTTTAACCCACTGCTGTCACCCATGGCCAAAGTATATCTCTCCGTCCCACTGAGGTGGCATTAGACTTTTTCGATGTCCGTCATTTTGACAGACAGGATCGTAAAATGTCCGTCATAATCCCTTATTACCCGTCGGGTCTGAACAGAGAGAGAGAGCACGCTCGTGAACTGTCAACGGAGTGCATACACCTCGCGCGCACAGCGTAAAGCAAAACCTCCCAGACATGTATTGATCTGTACGGCAAAGTACGGTTTGGAAACTATATCATTTCCTTTTGGAGGGCATGCATAACACGGCATAACACCAGAGCCTCGCTGCGGGGAAACGTTGGCGCTGTTCCGAGTTTGTTCTAATCTGTCAAAATGACAGACTGCTTTCAGATTTTTCCGTCATTGTTAAATAAAATGTTCGGTTAACGCGGCCACTGCTGTCCCAGCAACATCAGTACCAAGCGAGAGAGTTTTTTCCAGAGCAGGGGATATTGTAAATGCCCAAACATCCCAGCTTCTACCTGGAAATGTGGACATTCTCATATTCCTAAAAACCTGTCTGATGATGCTGAGTGAGTGACTAGTGAGTTTGAGTTGAGTTACTTGAAAAACTAAAGTGAAACTTGATTTATTTTATTTTAGGGTCTGATTATTAAATGTCCTTGTTTATTTGTGAGATGCAGTGGCACAAAGAAAATGCCTACTTTGTTTGGTAGTACTAGTAGGTACAAACACACTGGTTTTCTTGTTCCAGTCTGTTAGACATCTAAAAAATATATGTCATATGTATTATATTGCAGATTTAGTGTCGTCAACACCGTTTCTAATACGCAAAAAGACTGCAAAATGCGTCTATGATTATTTTTAGTATTTGCGATCTTTCCAGTCCAGACGAGAGATCTCTCCCCTGCCTGAGGGGGCGGGGCAGTTTACACACAGTGCACCACATTCAGACGGAGAAATGCACCGGGTTCGACTGTCTTTCTAGTAGCTCTGTAGCCCCATCCACGAGTAACGTTTCCACGTCAGGTGTTATGTATGCCAGCAGCAACACACATGTTAACACATTTATATAAACATGGGTTAATGATTAGAGGTAACTGAGTTATTTATTTTGTTAAAGTTTCAGCTATTCTGTTTACAGTTCTGTCATCACATTATTTAATACGATTTGTTAAAACATTGTTGTTTCTTTTGATGTGAAATATTATGTATTTCATTTAAATAAAAAGCAATATTTGTTTAGTTAGTTTACCTTATTTTTTTCTCCAAAAGAACCGATAAGAGTACCGTTAAAAGACCGGACCGATAAGCGGTATCGATAAAAGTAGTAGTACTGTTAAAACCTTAACGATACCCATCCCTACAGGATACTGGATAGCTTAACCAAAACAAACATTGACCCAAGAACAGTGGAGCTACCAGCTGCTCCGGTCTGTCTGGTCAAAGGTCAATTAAATGTCTGAAATACGACTCAAGAGGGTCGGACACATTTAGAGTTGTTCCAGACCAACTAGCGGGGAGTGGGAGTTATTAAACCTCCAACAGAAACTCTGCATTGGTCTTGACTTAACCAGCCATTAAAGCTCAAATTGGAAAAAACCATTTACAAAAAAATAAATTAAACAATACTGAATATTTGTCCAAGAGATGCTGATTCTAAACTGTGGTTACGTAAAGTTACTGCTAGAGAGAGGATTGCCTCGAAGCTTGCTGCTGTATTATCACCCTCCACCTTAGAGAAGGAGCTCTTTTGGCTGAGAGTGTGACTACAGAAGGAGATCACTGTCACTGATGCCCCTTTCACACCAACGCGTTTTCAGGGCCGGCTCAGAGCTAGAGCCTGAAAAGTACCGTTTTTTTCTCTTCACACCGCAGCGGCGCCGCCTCTTAGCTCCGGAATCCGGTTTGTTCCCAGCTCCAAAATTGTCGGTCTAGCAAGCAAGATTCCGGAGCTAAGAGGCGGTGCCGCTTACGTCTCTTACATCGAGGCGGGGGCAGGGACATGGGCGGGATCAACCTCCTGAAGACCGCAAAGAAGTCTTGAATTTCGCATGTGATGTTTGTAAAGTTCCAAGTAAAGTCGTCCCTTGTAAAGTCGTTCCTTGTAAAGCCGTCCCGTGCCTTCCATTTAGTTTCGTAAGAGCATAACCAAAGCAAACAGCGCTTCAATACAATCGGCCATTGTTGTTGCTGTCGATGTGAGGGATTTCCGTGGTTTGGTTTTTATGAAGCAGGCACATAAACGGTGACGTCATGACGCAAACGATGAGGCAATGACGCAGTACCACCCCGGCTCTGTGTGGTGTGAACAAAGCGGGAGCAGAAAAGGAAAATTGGAGCTGAACCAGAAAAGCTCTAGCACGGAGCTAGAATGGGAAAAGCGCTGGTGTGAAAGCCGCATGAGTGAGAGTGCGTAAGGGTTGGTTTGAAATTGGGCCTGAAACTGCTCTGTGCCTCCATCCCTACAGAGTGGTTGTGTGACTTATGCCATCGGGTCCTGCTGATCGTCTCTGGCGTACACATCTTTAGACATCTCTACTATACGTCAAAAGAGTAAATTATGATCTATATCTTAAATTATCAATAAAACAGTCTAGTCAGACATGGGTTAAAAATAATCTTCAGTGTGTCTGAGCATGTAATACACGTACATATCCAACTATTGCGGGGCTGATCTATTTCGAGGCAGTTGGTCGACAACACCACAGATAAATGGAACAACATGGATCTTTAACTTACAGGACAGCCTTCGACTTCATAGACCACATCAAAGATCTGCTTCTGGCCTTCAGTCTTCCTCTTGTCCTCATTGATGTGACTAGTGGGGAGGAAAGGAGGGGGGTTGGAAACATTTAAATACATTTTGTAATTTTTAAAGTAGTACTGAAGCAGCAATTTGCATCATTTGTTTTAGTCGTTGACATCAGGTCAGGGACTAGATGAAAAATAGCCTGTTAGATAATTTTCTAATGATAATGACGCTTTATTTACAGCACTTTTCATAAAGTAGGTGCAGCTCAAAGTGCTTTTAAAAAATGGCACAAATTACAAATTAAAACAGAGAACAAGAAATTCACCTCAGATCAGATGGTAAGACCTTTTTGGAAACATGCCGCATAGCAACATAACATAACATTTTTAACAGTTTAAGAGAAACAAGGAGGTAAAAGCTAGGATACAAAAAATGTAATAAATATTGATCCCTCTCGGAAAAATAAAGGAACACAAAAGACAAAAATAAATCAATACAATAAAATATAAATATTTATAAAATACATATAATAAATAATAAAATAAAAACGTAATACTAATGCAAACTGTCCCTGTCAAATACATCTTCAATTAAAGTCACTTGTTTCTTGTTAAATCTTGGCTCGACAATGGTCAATTATTGAAGTAGAACCTATACAATGGTCAAGCTTTAGTATGATAGGAGAGTGTTCAGATGAGGGGTTCAGATATTTCTGTCTGTGATCATCAAAAAAGAAAGGGTAAGGTCACGGCAACTCACGTCATGACTTCTTTCAGAGACTCGATTGCTTTATCCAGCTTTTCCTTGTCTGGGTTGTCATCTGGCGTGTGCTTCTTTACGTCTGCAATGGAGGAAGAAAAAAGGGAAACGTTATGTAAGAAGGAGACGGACAGGAAGAGATGGAAATCACGTAGACCAAGGCGAGTCGAAAAGAACAGTGGGGAAGTAGAGACAAGAATCAACATTAGATAATGGAGGAGGAAGGCAGGTATGGATGGAAAACACGGACAAAGTGAGGGATGTGATTATAAGAAAGTATTTGTGTCTAAAGTTATTCGACAAAGAGGTGTGTGTGTGTGTGTGTGTGTGTGTGTGTGTGTGTGTGTGTGTGTGTGTGTGTGTGTGTGTGTGTTACCGTTAAGAAGGAGGGCCACACTTGGCAGTCTCTGTACAGGTCTGATGAGCAGCTCCACCAGGGTCTGCCTGCCACACTCTGGCTTGCACTGGTTGATCTGAAAAAAGGATATATTATTGTGATAAGAAGTGTCTGTGTAAACCTCAAATACAAATTTAATTGGGAAATAAAAATGTGCAATGCACGCTGACCATCAGCATGGGGTGGTGTTATGAGGACGTATTGTTGTAGGCAGAAGTATCACAAAAGCTCCCTCAACAAAATCTCCATTACATTTCAGAATATTGCATGTAAATAAGATATTTGGTAATTACATGTTTTTTATACTTCCATGTAGCATTCAGAAGGATAATCTTCACATATCAACACTACTTTAAAGAGTTCTGAAGTACTAATGCCTCTGCTAGAAGTTAAAAGCTAACTGAACTACATTGCTGTGCCTTACCCCAGCTAAGCTAAAGGCGGCTAATGTTTGGCATGATGACATTTTGTATTTTCATTAAATCCCTTGTTAGCAAATGCTATTTTGATGACACATAGAAGCTTCAGACCTTCACCAGTGTGGTATTTACTGACGTATTAGAGGTCGTACAACAAAATGTGAAGGACTCTTAAGCTTGTGTTTATCACCGACCCCATTACATGGATCTAACCAAAATAACTTTCGAAAACTTTGCGCAAGTGATCTGGAAGTGGAAAACTGCTTACTCATGACTGGGTTTTAAAACTCATTCCTGCACCACTCACAGATCAATTCACTGCTAAAAATATTGATATTGATGAATTATTATAAAGGAATCTTGCTCCCTTCAAGTCATCCAAGGTGATCCTATCATATCAAACAATCAACCAATCAAAATACTTTATTGATCCGAGGGGGAAATTGTGTTTTGTGACAGTTCGGCACAAAACAAGCTTACAGGAGCTATCCTCCATAACAACTTAAAGGACGCCTGTCATCTAGGATTGATTTTGCCTGAAAATAAGTGTTATATCAGTGACGCTGTGACAGCGTTACTGTACACCTCAAGTATTGTCAAATCTTGGTCTTGAACATGCTTACTTATAAACCTAGCACAGGAAATCAGTGTTTCCCGGGAGTAATTCCGCTGGGAAGAACGTTTTTTTTCCCAATATCCTACAAAGATTGTGAAGACTGGGTTGTCATTGACATGACTTTCCTAAAGAAACTTGATTGAAGACACCAACTGAAACATGTTAGGGCACTACACTTTCCTATAGAATGGTGTAGTACTTTATATAGAGATAGGGATCAAAAAGACTTTTACCCCAAGAACAACAGCCAAAATGTCTAAAGTAATGGCATAACCTGGGACAAATGACAACTAAACACTCAATCATTTTCAGACATGATGACAAGGCTAGAGTGTGTGCGTTGATGTGAAGAAGTGACATAAAGGTACAATCGTCCTATCTATTTTTCTCATTTCAACCCCTTGCAGGTCTCTTGTGCAAGATCTGTCTTTACGTGACACCAACCTGTCAGGCAAACAAGCACGGAGTAGCTGCAAAGGTCATACCTTGAGGAAAGCGTGGAAGCGTGGCTTTTGTTTTTCACAACGAACAATAGTCTCCTTGCTCATTTCAAAGAAGTTGACAAAGGGAGGGTAGGCCTTCACCATATCGTTAGACTGGAAAGACAGAAAAAGAGGACAGGTCAGAAGATTCACACACAGGGGGAGGGAAAACAATAAATCACAATTTGGATTGTTTCAAACCAGTGTCTAAGGAATCATTTGCAATACCACAATACTCCCTCCATGTGACAATCACTGTTAACTATGACTGCTTTTTTTTGAGTAGCTACAAATGGTGCATTACTGTAACAAGCATTTATGCTCAGTAAACTTTAATCGTCTGAATAACATTATATATATTTTGTAGCTGAGGCTTTTATCCAAAGCCACTCACAATAAGAGCAATCAACCGTGAAAAAAAAAATCAAAACAGAACAGCAGGAATCCTGCAAATTTGAATGCATATAAATAAGTAAATGATGAATAAAAGCAAGAAGCATTAAACCCATGATGATTTCCAACACAGGATCACAGGCAAAATGTCCCCGCCTCAACTGTTTTGGTCATTTATTAGAAGAATAGGCAAGGCAAGTTTATTTATATAGCACATTTCAACACAAGGCAATTCAAAGTGCTTTACAAAAATGAAAGACATTAATAGCATTAAGAAACATATTATGAAATGATATCTAAAAACACCCATTTAAAAGAAAAAGATACATGAATCACAGTTACAGTGCAGTGTGAGATACACACATCTGAACGAACACCCCTTTGGAAAATTATAATCTCACCCCATGGTACCTTTTGGTTTTTGCCGAAACTATTCCTCTTTTTTATTTTTAAATGCACATAGTTAAGTTTACCTTCTCTTTCTAGGACTTTTTTGCTGTCCTCTGCGAACCAAAACGGCACGTAGGGGACTTTAACCACCTACGAGGGGACTTTAACCACCTACGAGGGGACTTCAACCCCAATAATGACTTTAACTACCTTTGGGGGACAAGGCAATTCAAAGTGCTTTACAAAAAATGAAAGACATTAAGAAAATGGCATTTAAAAAGCAAAGATAATAAAAGTTACAGTGCAGTTTAAGATATGAATAGTTCAATTAAAAGCAGCGACAAAAAGAAAAGTCTTCAGCCTGGATTTAAAAGTAGTCAGAGTTGTAGCGGACCTGCAGGTTTCTGGGAGTTTGTTCCAGATATTTGGAGCATAATAACTGAACGCTGCTTTACCATGTTTAGTTCTGACTCTGGGGACAGAAAGCTGACCAGTCCCTGAAGACCTGAGAGATCTGGATGGTTCATAATTTAGCAGGAGGTCAGAAATATATTTTGGTTTGCCATGAATGTGTCTGTCCGTCCTGGGAGAGGGATCCCTCCTCTGTTGCTCTCCCTGAGGTTTCTCCCATTTTTTCCCCTCAAACTGTGGGTTTTTCTCTGGAAGTGTTTCCTTGTACGATGTGAGGGTCTAAGGATAGAGGGTGTCGTTTTTCTCATACTGATATTCTGAACAATCTGTGTTGTTGTATTTGCTGTAAAGTGTCTCTACTGTAGGCTAATTTTATTATATGTACAGCACTTTGGCTCGACCAAAAATCGTTTATAAATGTGCTATATAAATAAAACTTGATTTGATTTGATTTGATGAATTTAGTGATGGATTGTAAACATTTGAAATGTAGCATTTAAGTGTTTCTCAGTTACAAGGTTGTTGTTTTAATAAATCAGACACTGATGGTGCAGCGCTGTACTGTACCTCTTTATATAGGCATTTTTTCCCTAACAATTTTTTTTGTGCTGATCAGGGGGTACTTGGCTGAATTTTTTTTTCAAAGGGGGTACATGATTGAAAAAAGTTTGAGAACCACTGCTTTAGGTCAGTGTTTCTCAAACTTTTTCATACCAAGGACCACTTAACCAATAAAAAAACAGTCGCGGACCACATAACTCCACAAATATCCAAAATCACATCATTTTTCTAGAACAGATTACAAATCGCCTGAAAATGGTACAAACAAGTGGCAACATGTGTGATGAAGGTGTTGCGCTGGGCTATATCATGCAATCGAAAGTGAAACTTAAGCTCGCTCCATTGCGGAGATATTCCCGCGAGAGTGTGGAAAACTTAAATGTATTTATTTATTTCAAATGTGAAATGTTACCAATATACTCACGGACCACTAGGGGGCGCTCACGGACCACCAGTGGTCCGCGGACCACACTTTGAGAAGCACTGTTCTAGAGGCTCTGTATTGTGAGACAGACACCTCCAGCGTCTCGTTGTGTTGCCGCCATATTCTGTGCTTTGTTAGACTGCTTAGCAGCGTGTTAAGTAGGTTTTCTGTGCTAGTTACACTGATTAGCAGTGTGTCGTAGTGTTCTGTGTTTAGTATAGTGTGTGTACCGCTTAGACCCAGGTTAGCTTAGCGCCTGTAGATCAGCATTTGTGTGTGTATCGCTTAGACCCAGGATAGATTAGCGCCTGTAGATCGGCAACAGCTGTGTTCTCGCACAGCCTCCTTTTGTTTGTTATTTTGTTCCACTTTAGAAGTGAGGTATTTTCTTTCCTTTTGTGTATTACCCGTTGTGGGATAATACTGTGCAACTCTCTTTTGGAGTTCTCCTTTTGTTAAATAGCAACAGTTTGGCCCTTTGTTTGTGCCAGGCTGTTTGTGTATATCATTTTGTTCATTTATAGATACAAATAAACCACTTGTAACTTATACCAATTCTACTCTGGTTGTGTTTCTTCCCTTGGGATCCCCTTGACCCAAAAGGGAACGTAATAAATGTGTATGTAGCAATAATACATGACATATTTTTTAAATGTCTCCAGTATCGATAAAAAGTCCGATAACGTCGGAGCTTAACATTACCACTGTCTTTAATAATTCCGGCCCGGGGCCCGTTTAACACCGGGGTTCGGTACCCATCCCTACATGGGGAGAGGCGCAGCATATTGCTAAGGACTAAATACGATGGAGAGTTCTCATCTCAGCCTTATTACCCATAGGGGATGAAGAGGAGTAAGTAAATAAAGAGGCCGGCGCTCCAGGGTCTGGTTCTGCTGTGCGTTTTCGTGATGTAACGGTAAAACATTTCAGAATTCCTCCACGGGATGCCATTGTGCATCACTCAACCCGCGAAATACACACACTCAGTACATAGCTAGATCCGCGAATTTGCGGGCCAGGAATTTGCGGGCACAGCTGTAGCTACGTGTGTGTGTATTTTGCGGGTTTCTAAATGTTTTGTGCGTGTGTGTTTATGTTGACAAGGAGGTTTAATAACTGTGTGCTACACAAAACGTGGAGTCGGTTTCATTTTCATCGCTGTTTGTAGTAGAGTTAGCAGGGTATTTTTATTTTAACTCTCGTCCCAAAATTATTTGTTATCCTCCCCGACACTATTTTTTTTGGCCCCGGGACGACGGGACGTCCTTAAGCTCGAGCCCTGGCTGGGCTAATGCTAATAATGCTAATGCGAGGATAATAAAATGGCGGCTTCACAAAACTTTTGGGGAGTTTTATGGGGCGTGGTTTGCAATCCGCCCAGCCAATCAGACATAGGAACCTTTTTCTCCCACGAAAGTCCCTGCTCTCTAGCAGGGACGGAAAAGGGGGTAAAAAGGTTCTGATGAACTAATTTAGTTCCGGCTCTTTTTGGTGTGAACGTGACATTTCGGAACTATATCGGAACTAAAGTGGGAAAAGTACTGCGGTGTGAAAGCGCCTCATGGTAACTTATTTTGTTGTTTTTCATTTTCTGAGCCAGTGGTAGCATGTAGATGTTAAAGAGAAGAGGCCCCAGTGTTAATAGGTAACACTTTATGTATAAAAGCCATTCAAACCGAGTTACAAAGTGATTTCACATAAAAACATACCCTTAAATACATAAGAGAATAAAATGACCTAAAAAAAGCAACTAAACACACAATGAAACAGTCAAATAAATAGAACGTAATAAAACCCAAATAAAATCACAAAAAAGCAATACTATAAAAGTAGGATTTTACTAGTAACAGAATAAACAATGCAAGCCCAAAGCCACAGGTCAGAGTTAGCATGTCGCAGTCTCCTCAGGTAGACACTGACCAATCAATGGCTTCAAACTCCTTTTGATTTGTTTATGTGTGTTAATATTTTTGTTTGACTGATGATGTGACCTCACATTTAAACTGATTCTATTTCAACAAAGGAGCTTAATTTATTATAAAGATTCCTACAGATGAGTGTGAAACTTCGGAAATTACTATGTGTATGTACCTTGTTGTATAAAAATGCAAAGAACAATATTTGCAAACTGTGTTAGTACTCACATATTTGAGAATGATGTCTCCTACACTCTTGTCATCTGACCAGTCTGTCAGCAGATCCTCCAGGTCACCCTTATGAATAAACACAGAGAAATAATTAGGTCAACAGTGCCTCTTCAAGATTAAAACCATCACAATCTTTTGTTTGAAATGTGTATGAGTTGAGGTCACATTACCTTTATTCTAGTGTGAACATCGTGGATTTCTGGGATGCTGCCAAATATCGTCTTCATTTCCTCCTGAGCCAGGATGGGTCCGCCCACCTGCTCCTCTTTTTCCAATGGAATCTTGAAAAGCTGCAAATAAAAAACAGACATGAGAGAAGTGCAGACACATTAAAACTGCAGTAAAGCATAAATAACAACACATGTTCTGTTAGGAGAGTTAAGATGCACATCCATATTTTCCACTTGTTCTATCTTTACATGATGTAGCATGTCTTGATTCTGTCAGTCAACAACAGGATAACAACTGACTTCAGTTTCACTACTCTCATTCAGTAAGTGTGAAAAATAAGTGGAAAAGGGCACATTGCCTCTTTTTTAGTTGCCACAAAGAGCCCATGAACAAATAACTGACTGAAGTAAGACTAACAGGACCTCGAGATGTCACAATTATAGAAGAACAGATGCTGTTTTATCACTATGTTAAAACAGGATGGTTACTGTGTAGTGGCTTAGTATCATCCATTTGCTTAAATATAGGATGTACATTTGACATTGCATTCTTGACAGTTGAAAAATAAGCAGCTGGATTTAACTGTAATTGAGTTCCTAAAATTGTGGTCAAACCTGTGAGGGATTAATTTAGTCTTTACTTAAGATATTTGACCTTTCGGCCTGTTGACATTTACGACGAAGCCGAAGTCTGTTATCTGTCTTAAGGAATGGGAAGTTTCACCTATTGCTGACATCAGTTTTATGACCGGTCAACTCTCGGTCACAAGAGCCATAAAGTCAGATAAGTGATTCAGTGTCTCCAGGTGTTCACAGATACCTTCCCCCAATATGTGGATTTGGCTCTCTGTAAACTGGTTAAAAGGTCTACCAAGATGAGAGGGTGATGAGAATTGACATGACAACGCACCCGTGCAGTCAGAACCTTTGGCTGCTGTGACTTGTGATTTGAATTTGATTCTCCGGCCGATGCTTGTAATAAACTACCAGTGTTTGACATCAGAACTCCTGCTCGTCCTGTGTCTCCATCGTGAGTCGGTGACTCCCACTGCATTGCTACACAGAAGTTTCCCTTACAAAACCGACTCCTACAACAAAGTCACACTGAGACAGTGAAACTATAGGGCAGAGGTCTTTACAAGTCCGCCTGGTGCATAGCAACAGAGACCGAGCCAGGGGCATGACAAGATGTCGAACTATTTTGTGTAAGGATGTGTTGTATTTCTCTGGGGCTGGGATTTGTGTGTCAGTATGAGTAATACCAAAGCGGGTCCAAGTGGACACGCCATAAGCTCTGAACAAAAGGATGCGCCTTTACATTACAGAAGAGTGTGTATTTAAGAGAAGATGGGAAATTGCAGAACTGCAGTGTAAAATTGCAAATGAGATTTTATCTCAATGCTATTTATCTGGTTAAATAAAGGTTCAATAAAATAAAATAAAAAATGACATGTTCGTTTTAATGTTCTTTTATTGGTGCTACAGGCATGATGCGCCAGCTGGGAGACGATGACATTTGGTGGCTTGGTATAATCCTACTCTGGGTCATTTGGGGTCCCATACAGTATAACCTTTAATATTTTATGCACTTTTCATATTCTGTGAAAAACAATAAATGTCCCAGGATTAAATAAATACACTTTTATTTATGAAGGAAAGAACTAGTGGATAACAGGATTTGTCTCTCTCACTTTACAATGTTAAGACCATACACACATTGGCAGTCTACCTTTGTTTCTGTTGTGTTCAGATGAAAAATGCAATCTAAATTGGCAGGTTGCGGTCTTATTAACATGGGCCTATATTATCTGCTGCCTCACCATTTGGTGTGTTCCTTTTTTGTATTCATGCCAGATAATTCCATAAGACCGTAACCGTATATACCAAGATAAAGTTAAAATCAGACGGCCTTTTGTGAGTAAAGAACAGTTAAAGCTAGTAAAAAACAACAAAAACACAAGACAGTTGATAAGAGAGGGAGATGGAAAAACATGCACTATAGATGTGTGAGGCAGAAAGGGAGTGAGTGTAGGCTAAATGAAAGGGAAGTTCAAGAAAGATAAAGAAAAAACACTTTAATTTATAGTGTAGAGAAAGAAATGGTGAGGCAGGGTTTTGTACCCCTCACTCGGCAGCTGTCTGACTCTCTGCTGGGAATAACTGATAAAACAAGCCATGTGAGGGCATGCAAACACGCACACCTTTAATAATGGTAGCTTAGTCTCAAACTGTTGTCAGTCGCAACCGACTGGCCCACCTGTGAGTGAGTGTTAAAATTGCCCACATTGTGTGAACACATCCACACACAGTTACCTGTAGTATGGTGTTTAAAATCTCCACATAGTTGCTCTCAGTCTGATAGAGCTCCTTGGAGACCTGCCACCTGGCTGACTGCTTGGAAACAACCGGAGTGGAACTCTTGGAAGGCTTTAAGCTCTCTGGAGGAAAAAGACAGCGGGGGAGGAAGACTAGTTGTTAATACTGCACTGATGCAAGGACAGACAATGCATGTTCCAATGTTACTTTTTAAGCAATTGGAATGAAACGTGAGCTGAATTTAAATAACAAATTGTAATCAATTTTCATTTAGAATGTAAAAAGGTTATGTCAGTAGTTCACACAATGGGCCACACAGTATGAAGGCACAATCAACTGGGATGTGGTCATCTGGCTACTGAATAACATGCAATGCAGTAGGGTTGGGGTTCAACATCCTTTTTTTCTTTCAAATCCTTTCAGGGATTTATTGAGGTCAAGTGGACTTTAGATTTGATGAATCATGTACTTTTTTATGACAGGACTTTCATTGGACTTGCAATGAGTATGATCATAGGGTCACTTATAACATTAGGGGTGTATGAAAATATGAATATTGTTTTAATTCATTTATTATTTATACAAGTTTGGTTTGCTTAGGTTTTTTATACGATGACTTTTCTAAAATGTAGGTTCTGTTTGTTTTTTTTTATCATACATTGAATTGTAAAACCTTTTATACATATTGTGAGGCAGATTCTCGCTCATACAAAGCCATTTTAACAGTCCAACTGTAATACATAAGTAATAAGAAACGGACAACAGACAAAACTGTAGTTTAACATGTGTAAATAAGCAGACTAAGCTACATCCGACCCTAATAACGTGTGTCATTTTAACCACTGTTTGTGCAGGCTAAAAGCAGGGAGCCTGCTACAAACATGTGTTATACACTAGTTTGAGTAAATTAAAAGGAAGGGGAAATGTGTTAGAATCTGAGGTCAAATGGAACCAGCTATCAGAACCCAACCCTTACCCTAAATGTGTTTTTGTTGTAATCTTGATTGTATTGGTAAAAAAACATTTTATCACCTATTTTTTCATCAGATATTATAGGAACAAATGTAACGATACAAGGAATATGTAAATATGGAACTGAAGATTTTTTCCAGTCATCTGAACGAACATCCTAGGAAATGCTTCAGTTTATAACTGTTAAGGTGCTACGTGACATGTTGGATGAAGGAAACAGCCCAAAAGCTCCTCAGAGGTTGTTTTTTTTAAAAGCATGTAAGGTGCAACAACTAATCGACTTAATCGATTAAAATCGATGACCAAATTAGTTGCCAACTAATTCAGTCGTCGATTTGTTGGGTCTATGTTGTTACTCTCTGTTTGCGGAGCTCGCTACGTCACTCTAAAAAAAAACATTAGAAAAATGGCGGAGGCGAGGAGAAGCACGGTCCGACTAAAATATTCACTTTAAACAACAGTAAAAAGTGTGTTACCTGCAAACTGTGTAAAATCGAACTTGCATGGCACGGGAGCACCACAGTGCTGCGGGAACATCTCAAACGTAAACAAAAAACACCCGATAAAGATCCCTCCGCTTCGAGTCGGTCTCTGTGATCATACCGTCTGTGTTTTTTTTCTTCCAATAATGACCGGCTCGCTGCACATGATCCGGCTTATTACATGGTCAAATACTAAACAAAGTAAAGACTAACTTGACTTATTTTAACTTATTTTAACTATGCCAATTTATTGTTTCAGCAATTTCAGAGTGTTTGCACATTTGCAGAAAATAGGTTGGGTTGAGACACAGTGTGCTGTGTGTGTAAGAAAGTGTAACTGCAGAGACAATCTACCTATTTGTTGTAACAAAGCCTGTTAACACTTTTTGTTTGTGATTCACAATTTTATTTTTTATAATTTTATAATCTTATATAATGTATTATTATTTATAACGGCTCAGGTCCATTAAAGCATTTAAAAAACTGTTAGGTTAGTTATCATGGTTGATCATTTGAAAGAACATTGTTTTTGTTCGAGCAACCTAAAGAGACATATTTTGTTCAAAACAAGCTGTTATATAGCTTTTGCATATGTTTTATAGCCTACATTTGGGTTGTTTTTGTGTGTTGATGTTGTCAATTTGGAAATGCAGTTTTCTGAATCAAATTTTAAAACAATTTTTTTTTGGGTGCCTTTTTTATCCGATGAATCGTAGAAATAATCGACAGATTAATCGATTATCAAATTAGTCGTTTGTTGCAGCCCTAATGTAATGTCAGGTGACACTGCACACGTCCCTGTTCATGTTGGTACTCCATTACTCTCAGCTGGCCGGGGTATAATTCAATCCCAAATGTTTTCAGATCCACTGGTAAAACTATTATAGGATTCTTCTATCCTCCACTTCATATTAGCTTTGAGTTGGACTCTCCTCTGACGATCAATACATGTAACCTTGAAGCAAAGCCTGACCTGAGGATCCTGTCTGCTGCTCCTCTTCTTCTTGTTGTTGAAGAGTCTCCTGGTAGGACCTCCTCCTCTTCTCTTCCCTGTCTGTCCTACTCCTTCTTTCCCTGGTTCTCCTCCTTCTCATCTTATTCCTGGCAACAGCATTGCTCTCTGAACTGTTCCCTACTCTGTCTTCTGAAATAGAGATTAGTTGATCTTGTTACTGCTTTCCTTAAAACTATATTCTCAGTTATTTAGCTTTTAATACATACAAGAAATTGTATAACTGTCACTGCGAAAATAAAAGGGATTAAGGGACGGATGGAGAAGGTGTTTTATAGTCAACCGTCATTTCTCTGTTACCTGCCAAGGCCTTGCAGGTGTCGGGGGTGTTGGAGATGTCCAGCAGAGAGCCCATGGACAGGGAGTGCTCTGCCGAGGGTCTCTTGCGTGGGGGGGGGAAGGGAGAGATCTCCGTCTCCTTGGTGAGCTGAGCCAACGTGTCCCTGAGACGCCGGCGCTTGCGGTTGCTGTTGGGGGTGGTGAGGGACAGCAGGGACACGGCCTTCTTCATGGCCGGGCTGTCGTTCTGATCGCAGCGGGACAAAAGAAAAAAGGACAATATAGTAAGAGAGAGTGAAAAGGAGAGGCAACATGAATACACGGAGTATCTCTTGAAGATGTTGATGAAACCTGAATCAGAAACTCTTAAACAGCTATCTGTGAGGAAGGCAAATAGAGAATATATATAGTTTATTTATTTTATGTATAAATCTTGATTCATGGTTGTGTAATGCTGTAGTCCAATTATTATACATTGAGATAAAGAGAGATACTTATTTTGCCGTTCGTGAGTGTTTATACATTTGGCTTGAAATAATATTCATTTAGTAACAACACCCATAAATAGAGGTGGCCGGATTTTGCACTACTGTCGTTACGGTGATAAAACAAACAAACAGACACACACACACACACACACACACACACAATCTACTTGCCACAGCTCTCAATAAACTATGTTTCATATAAACAGGTACCATTGTCTCAGTTATGTACAGGCAGTATAAAACCTGTGATGTGTTGTTTCCACACAGACTGCGTTGCTACTGCCAGCTCTCCACAGATCATGTTTGCTGTCTGATTTAACAAGAACTCTATGACTTAAGGTCAGCACGCCAAATCTCTAGATATTCTATGATTGAGACGTAAAGCTTTCTGTTTATTTAACCTGTTAAAGATGTTAATATAGAATAATGTCCTGTTTGGCTTGTCGGATCACAAATGATGTGGCACCCTTTACTTTAGAGCTTTTAAACATTTGAAAAAAATAAAACGATTGTGGAAAAAAACATTTGCTCATATTGTGGTTGCTTAGCAGCAGAGTTCATTCGCAACCTCAAAATGAAAGCATGGCTGTTAAATCTGAAAATATGTGCTTACATATACTACATTATGGGGCAGGGTATTTCTCAAAAAAGGTATTTACATTATTTTATTGCTTTTAGGAGTCAATAACACAACGTTTTATTTATTTATATTTTTTATATTTTTCTCAAGATATTTTTCCATACATACCGCATAGAATGAAGTAAGGCAGAATCATGTAAATCATTTATTTTATTTTGTAATACCATGATAAAGTACTGCGCAAAAAACACAACAAAAAAAGAAATGTGAATCTAAATTTCAGTCATATACCCAACCCCTAGCGATAATGCAGTCACCTTCTCGTAGAGGTACATGGACTCTCCGGCCCGAGCGTCCATCTGTATGCTTCCCCAGAACCACTAACACAGAAGGGAGAAAACAAAACCAAAAAATACTGGTTTTATAAGGACCAAAACTTCCTTTGAAATCAATAAAACTAGCAACTTCACCCAATCCACCATGCTACCATGGCGCACATTATTTACTGAAATAGGGAAATACATTAAAAAGATAATTTAGAACTCAAGACAATACCCTGTTTTGTCAAAATGGTGCTAAAGTAGTATCAGTGGTGTTAAACTTCACTCTTAAACAAAAAACCCTACCTCCTGTTTGACCACAAAGAGTTTACTGGAAGGAGGAAATGGCAGCTCCTTTACTGAGTTTTCCTCCACCACCATGTGTGTACAGCGCTCGTCTCCAACCTCAAGATAAGTGCCACCTTGGAGAAAGAGAAAAGAGATATGATGATGAAAATACATGTTCATGTGCAAAACACAATTGTACAATACAAGTGTTTGAATTGTATGAAACAATGTGTATATTCACTGCTGCACAGGTTTAATGACACTGACCATGTTTGAGAGTCCTCTCCTCCATGTTGGCCTTATCTTCATCTAAGAAACCCAGGAAACTGAGGATGCAGTCCTGGAAGGGAGGCACTTTGAACTCTGTTCGAAACTCCTCTTCTCCTGCATGGAAGAGCCTGAACACATGAAGGGTGTTCACATGAAGGTTACAATTAATAACATGTCGTCATTTCTGAAAATGTGGTTTTAGATTAGGTACATTAAACATAATTGATTCTACATCGTTGAATACATCAGGATTTGTTCACCCCCTAAAGCTCCTGAAAGGCTTGCATACACATACATGATGAGATAGCACAATGACTGTTGAGGCCCCCATTCCCAAGAGCACTGCTTTTTCTGGATTTAAGATTCATTTTTAACGCCAATAATGAAGCTCTTTAAACTGTAAGGTTTAATTAATATAGCAGTTTATTTAATAGTACCACGATCAACTACTGCTTACAATCTTCTTCTTTTTTCCCTCCAACAGTCCAATTTTTGGGCATGAGCAAGAGTATATGCACGCAGCACAACACATGCCATTAAAGTGTTTAGGGGTTGTTAGTTAGAGTTTCCGTTAAACGGTAATTACCGGACTTTGACCGGTAAAATATGCTGAAGACCGGCAAATCTAAATCTCTTCGGTCAAAATCATTTCCCCTTAGCACAACACAGCATCAGTTGCGCCACTTATGTAACAGACAAGAATAGTATGTGACAGAGAAGAATAGTCAATTTTAATGTCTAACATTTAATGTGGAGAAAGAGTATGGGTTGATTGTACGTTGATCTGTTGGTAATGCCTCGGGGTTCCGGTGGGCATGTAAACAAATTCATAATGCTGCGCTATACTTTGCGGCCTCACCCGGTTGCATAGTGACGCTTATTGTTTAGGTGTCTTGATAAGCAGTTATGATATGGACATAAACGCGAGTGAAGTCTAATCTGACGGGAGAGCGAGAGATCAGGATCAGCTGCTGCTGACGGAGACACGCAGCTCTAGCGGATCACCTGCAGCGGTGAGCGCTGCAAAACACACACTTCAGGTTAGAAAATTACACTTAGCTATTTTAAAAACCTCTCAAACTACCTAAACTAGTTATAGATATGTTTATTTTTACTGTCGGGTCACTCATTACTGGATCCGCGAGCTGCATGATACTGACGGGCTGTCAGGAGAGAGAGCGCTCCGTTATTATAAGTTACTTTACACTTTTGAATAATGTAGTTAATGTACTATAATTAGTTTGTTAAATATCGAGTCGTTATCAATTTGTTTTAAAGCTCAATAAATAACAAAGAACACCTTTGACCGGCACTTTTCTCATTTTGTCCGGAAGATTTAAACTTTAACGGACATGTTGACCGGCAAAAAAAAATTCTAACGGAAACTCTGGTTAGCTGTGCTAATAAATATCAATTATCATTCATAATATTCAACCCCCTTTCCTCAAATGTATGTGAGACTTGGCTTCATCATTCAGCACTAGTGCTGTAGCGACGCGTCGACGACGTTGACGCGTCGACTTCAAAATATCGTCGACGACATATTTCCGAGTCGACGCGTCGCTACACACACGTGGGTCACCCAAAGCAACAAGCAGTTCGCAATCGCACTTCAAACACAATGGAGACTGAAACGGCTACCACCTCCTCCTCACAGGATTGCGCACGAAGCCCCCAAACGAAAACATCTCGCCCTAGGTCTTCAAAAGCATGGGAATATTTTAAAATTAGTCCAAAACACAAAGATATTTATATATTTATATCTCACTGAGACTGCTGCATAGCCTAGCAGAAGCAGCAGCTAGCTGTGGTGGCTACCATTAGCAGCTAGCATTTGCTCTCCGATTTTTTACATAAAATGGAATTATGGATTATAAATTCAATCATTTTTTTATACATAGACGTTAAAAACCTATGGATTAACCGATTCAGCCGCGTTTTTTCTCATTTTAATGCCATTGAACACGTCTTTTGATCAGATTGACAGCTACGGTGGTGAGACGAAGCTCTGTGAAGGTACGTGTTGTGATGACTGTATTTGCTTCCCCTGTCGCGAGTCCGGATCACTCAGTGATGATACTATATACCTACATAATCTGTGGAGTCTCAGCTTTAATCGGATATATTGTATGTGCAGCTACGATAAGTAATAAGGGTACTTTTATCTTGAGTTCTGTGCCAATGTCCGTTAGCATTTTTCGCTCAGGGGTCATTTAGATGCTTCTTATGAGACTTGTGTTTTGTTTTGGTAAACATGGTTTGTATCGTCAATTAGCTGAGATTATTTCCGTTAATCTGGTATAACACATTAATAGGTTCTTAAATATTAAGATCCCCTGAGACACAGTATCGTGAAAAAAAAATTGTTTACATTACGTTTTTTATGAATTGAACAACAGAAAAATAATCGTTAGATTAGTCGACTAATCGATCAAATAATCGCCCGATTAATCGTTTTCAAAATAATCGTTTCCCCCCAGCACTATTCAGCACACCTAATTTGTATGGTTTACAAAGTGTTGTGCATCAGCAGTTGACTTTTTCATATGTAAAACAAAAAAAGAAGAGAAAATAAACCACAAAAAGAAAACTGGAGATCTAATATTTCCCTGTGCTCAAATACTGGCTTGCAGAGAGAACATAAAGTAAACAATAGATGTTTCACTTTGGCATGCCTTTACCACAGGATACACAAATGAGAAGCTAACCAAATAACTTTTCTCATTCACACTTTCAATTTTCCTCTGCATTATGTAGATATTGTTGTAAAGGAGAGCAGCTCCAATAGCCTTCCTTCCTTTTCTTCACTTACACGTCTTCTCTTGTCTCCCAGGCTTTATGAATCCATGATGGAGTGAGAATCGGCGTCCCCATGCACACTGCCAGCTGAGAGAGGAGGGAACAAGACAGAGTGAAAACGCAGATGAGTAAATGTGCAACCAGAAGATGATAACAGAAATATATCAACGTACAATTGTATCAGTATAAGCTCTCCTAGTTCCCCTGTCACACTCTCAATACAACAATTTCCCTAGTCTGTTTGCATTACTTCTGATCGGTGTGTCTAAAACAAATCTGACAGGGACAAACCACTTTCAATTCAGGTGCAATACCAAACCAAGTTTGAGGCTCCATTGGATAAAACTGGGAACTTCTTACTACATTTTGTCTTCATTTGGTATGAAAAAGGTGACAAGGATCCGAGCCCCCCAACCCCACGGAATATCGGCTTTAAAATGAGGAATAACAGAGGATTTTAGCAGTCAGAGCAACTAAAGCAGCAGGTAATAATAACAGAAACGCCAAAGAGTCACATCTAATAGAAATATATAAAAGCATTTATTTTAATTGTGGAGCAGTCAGTTTATAATTTTGGCAGCACTGTTGAGCATTTTGAAAATGTATTTTCATGCCTCTGTGCAAGGCTTAGTCTTTCTGTCTTTATAGCCAGTGGTGTAAAGTAAGTAAGTTCATAAACTTACGAAACCTATCATGCAAAATGCACTTTTGTACGTCTTTTATACATGAATATGTGTCCCCGGTGTATCAGGGAACTCACCAAGTGTCAGAAAACACAACCCTCTCTCTTTTCCTCCATACCCAAATCTCTAAAAACGGGGCTGCAACGGATCTGATACAGACTGATCCAGATTTGAAAATCCTCTGACGTCAGAAACGAGGAGCTCCGCCTATATGGGCAACTCTCCACCTATCAGGAGGAGACAGCCACGGCCATTGCCGTTCGAAAGCGCTGGAGACGCTGTAGTACATATGCCAGGCCTGTAGGTGGCGCTGAAGTCTGACACAAAAGCAGCAAAGAAGACTTCTCACAGAATCAGCCCTTGCAAAAACAGGGCTAAAAAAAAGAGCAAAATGAGGCATGGCTCAAATGCATGATCTGTTTGGTATTTTGAAAAAAAAACTTTGCAGACATGTTTTATATAGGTATGGCCCAACAATATATTATTCAAATATAGCATGATAGGTCCACTTTAAATATTTCAATGTTTTCCTACTTTGTTCTTCTACTCCTCTGCTCCTCTACAATTCAGAGGTAAAAGGTGTACTTTTACTCCACTACATTTATTTAATACCTTTAGTTACTTTACAGATTTGGATTAATGATGTGAAATATAATAAACTAGTCTTAAATCAGACTTTAGTTACACCTTGAGTAAATTCACAAGCGTCATTCAAACTAGCTGCTAGTGATGTGTCGGTCACGAACGATCCTATTCTTTCGAACGGCTCTTTGGTACGAACGAAGGGAACCGAGTCGTACTTGGTGAGAGCCGTTCTTTTTATCAATGGTTCACTGCCTGCCATAAATCCACTCGCCTTTACGGGAACTTGCTTTCCTGAATGCACATTTTCCGTGGATGATGGCATAACGCATGCTGCTTGAGTAGTAGTTTGGCTGGCTGAGAGATGTAGCAAGTTATACATTTTTCTGTGAGAAAAAGTAGATTGCTGGCAATACAGTCAATCATTATCCTGGTGATTATTTCAGAGATAAACCTATCAACCCCGCCCCCTTAAAAATAACAGCTCTTTTCCTACACTCTGGTACTTCTACTTTTACTCAAGTACAAGAACTGAGTACTTCTACTTTTACTCAAGTACAAGATCTGAGTACTTCTACTTTTATTAAAGTACCAGATCTGAGTACTTCTACTTTTAATCTAGTACAAGATCTATACTTATGCCACCTCTGTTTATAGCCCATTAGAAAACTAAAGCTAACGTTAGCAGATAGTGACAATGTATGCTAGTTAGCTAGCTCCACGATTCCTTAAATAGTATTGCAACAGAAAAACGTTTCAGTTCACATCACGCTCTGCCGCTCCGACAGGGAGCTCTGCTCTGAACAGCTGAACGGCCCGTTCTAACAGCTAACTCCGGACCGCACAGTTACTATTAACGAACGCACCGTAGGTAATGTAGCTGCTGAAGTTAGACCCTCATGCCGGAGCAGCAGAGTTCAGCCGACAGACAGGAAGACTCGAGCACACAGCTCGCGCTTCATTATAATATATAAAAAAATAACACCATGTGCGTCATGATGGCAAATAACAGCTCACGGTCCCAGACCCCCCCCCCCCCCCCCATAAATATTTGTATTGCAGATCTACATGAATCACACAAACGACCTATTTTGGATTCAAAACGGCAAATTTGTCCGAAAGGTGACAAGTTTGCATCCCTGATTGAAGTGAGATACCCACTGATTTAAAAGAAAGTTAGACTACAGAAATTAAAGAAAAATGTACACACCCTGTATTTCTCTCCATGTGTGGAGTAGGCGATGAGATGAGTAACCTTGGTGCTGAAGTCTTTCCGGATGGTCCCCCCCATGTGATGAACCAGATTCACCAAGTTCTTCTGCAGGACAGAAAACGAACATGAGCTCAGCACTAGGAGGGAAACAATATTCACCAAACATTTGGCTTTGCTGGTGGCTTTTTCTATAACTTTTCATCTTTAGCAGGGCCAGAGTGACCAACACGACCACGCTGGCTGAATGCGTCAAATGCTGGTTGAAGAGTGGGATGTCATCCCACAGCCGTGTGTGACCAGCATTAGGAGGAGAGGCTGTTGTGGCTTCTATGGTTCTTCCCCACGCTACTGAGGCTGATGTTCGTTAAATTAATGAATTAATGAATTGGTAAATTGCCAATATGTCTTGTTTTATCAGACTTCAATCATCCAATTCACCAAACAAGAGTCAACAGCAAAAAAAAGCTGTTTGGCATTGGCAGATAAGATTTGGCAAATGTTTCATGGGCGCAACCCACATACAGCAGAGCGCTGCTCATCCCACAAATGCATGTTCCTCACAAATGTGGCACCATTTAAAAAAGGGAAATAAAAAGCCCCCCCCAATGGTATAAGATGTATTGCCAAGGAGCATTGTTAGAACAAAGAAATAATCTGCCAAACACACATTTCCGTACTTTTTGTGCTTAGTTTAGAATATTGAGTTGCATTGTATTTTAGGTCCAAATTAAACAAGAGCAACTAATTGTATACAAGGATTCCATTTGATCTGTAATAGCCTTATATCAATCTTAGCTCTCGTTGGTGTCCGACCCGGGATCCCCCACCTGACCTGAGTCATGTATCGCTGTGCTAATTAGCAGGTAGCTGTTGAAACTCTAAAAGGATATCTGTTTTGGAGTTTAGTTTCACTCCTGTTCCTGTCACTGTTCTTCCATATCTCAAACTGACAAACCAATCATTTCACACAGTAGTGACGAGAAGGACAGTGGAAACAGTAAAGCACATAAAAACACAGCAATTTAGGAAAACTGTTCCCCACTGTTTTGCATCATAGAGAAGCTAAAGGGTGAATTGTGCCTGTATACATTTATTTTCATTTCATCGTTTATTTGAACAGGGACAATGCACATTAATGAACACTTAAGACAAATAATGCTTCAAGTGTAAACATGCCGGATTTTAGCTTTGAGCTCATTTCCATCCGCAGACCCCAAAGGGCTGCTTTATTTGACGGCCTAGAAATGGGAAGAGGCTGCACACCCTGCTTAATGGCTGAGGGTCAAACAACCACATGTGGTTCAAAATGTCTTGTTGACACCCAGACACTCAGCTGCATGGCCTCAGTGGTTTCTTTGAGATTTTGCTGCATATGACACAATACTGATCTTTCCACGCAGAATGATCATTAAGAAAGTACCCCATTTTCATCCCTCAACAAAAATAGTTGCATCATTTGAAATTAGTATACTCACAATTTCCTCCTTGTTTTTGAAGCCAGTGAAACACAGCGAGAGGTTCAGCATGGTGGCGGAGTAGAGAGGACGACATGAAAACTGTAGAGGCTGCGGGGCAGAAAATAAAAAAGGGGTGAAAAAAATAAAACCCCCAAATAGCACTATAGGTTCTGTTTAAAACAGAACGGCTGCCAGAGAAAAGAAAAGGAATCACAAACTAATGCATCAACGTTTGTTTAAAGAGCAACTTGCAGGTTTTTTTTTTAATAGATTTATGCTTACCCTTGCCTGAAAATTACAATTAAAAAAGTTAATGCAGGATTTTATATGTTTTACGAGACATAAGGGCAGGAATTCAGAGGGAAAGGAGCCGTTTTGAGCTCTGCTACTAAAAACTGCTTTTTTTTTTTTAAAACGGCATACGTCACATGGGGGAGCAACTTTCTCTGACTCGTTCTCTGTCAATCCGCGGTAGTAGTTTGTAGTTGGTTTGAGCAGTTGTGATTTAGTGAGCTGGTATTTTTTCGGTAATTTTACATTGCATTTCACCATTTGTAATCATGGTGAGCCTGTCAGGACATCGAGTCCACAGTTTCCCTAACAGGAAAAGGACCGGAGCTAGCTTTCGTTCCTGGGTGCATTGTGCGAGGTGCATCCACCTCCCTGCAGCACATACTCTCCACAGATGAGGCCTATCAAACTAAACGTTTATCAGGAAACCATATTACACCTCTCTCCCCCCCTTCGCTCCTCTCGTTCTCTCTCCCCTCCGGTACAGCACCGTAAGACGTAGTGTGGAGTTGCATTAGGTAACACGAGATACGGCTGATACTTGCGCATTCGTTTCTGTTATGGATCAGTATCAACAGTCCTGCCAGTAACGTTACTATATTATCAATACTACTTCAGTTATAGCCTGATATATGATAGCTAACTTTACAATGTTGTGATCAGGGTTGGGTTGTAACGGAATATATGTAACGGCGTTACGTAATCAGAATACAAAAATCAAGTAACTGTATTCAGCTGGCGTTACATTTGAAAAACGAGTAATCTGATTACAGTTACTTTCGTAAACCTGAAGTGAATACATTTTGGAATACTTATTGGAATTATTGGTGGAAAGATTTCCTCACAACATTTAATATTCATTACTAAAGGAACAGCCGAATCATCACAGCCCACAAAACCTTTTACCGCCGCAGATGGAACAAAAAAGTGAGCGTTTGGAAAAAAAGGGGCGAGTCCGCTCGCTCAGTGAAACAATAACAACGAAACATGGACAGGGGTAGACATTAAGGGTAAAAAGCCACTGGTCTTCCGGGCCGGTGGAATTGTATTGTCACTGGCCCCACCATTGTAACCACTGGCCCGGAGCATTCGTCCAAAGAAAAAAAGACTAATAATGAAGAAAATTAACACATTTGTTGCAATAGTAATTTATGCACTAACTACATTACTACTTGTACTACAACATTTGAATCATTAGTTCTTCCTCATTTTCCTCAATTGTTCATATTTAGTTTATTAAAATAATGATATTGTAGTCATTGCTAAAAAATGTTTGCTATTGTTATGAGTATTATTATTTGTATAATGCGCTTTCTACCTTCCTGTCATTAGGAGTTAGACATATAATGGCTATGTAATAGATTAGATTAGAACCTTCATTATCCTAAACTGCTGGGACATTTCCATATAGCCAATACCTTTATATTGTCTACTCTTCACTTACTTGTCAGCATAGGTCGGCATTGATGTACAGAGCCGACAGAAGACCTTGTTTATATTGGCATCATATTCAGTGTGAGAAAAAGTTTTTAGAGAGTATTTGTCCATGGACAAGTGAGTTTGGCAATTTACTTGTCCGAATACATTTTTCACTTGTCCAGAATGGACAAAAATTGTGGCCACTGGAATCTTCTTCTTCGCCATCGTATTTTTCCACGTTTTTTACGACACCGCTAACGTAAGTGAGCGGTAAGCTTTTACTGCATCACACAAAGGGTTGGGTATCGTTTGGATTTTAACGATTCTGGTTATGCTTTTCGATTCCGGTTATTTTCGGTTCTCGATTCCGGTTCTTTGAGAGGGTAAAAATAAGTCCCATGACAAACTGGGAGAAAAATATATTTATGAAAACATTAAGTCAAATCTGTATTCCTATTTACAAATCACTTCATACTGTTGAATTTTGTTACGGTTATTGAATAAAATATATAAAAATAATCTCTGCATTGTTTAGTTAGTTCTAAGTGGTGCAGTTTGATTGCACACACACACACACACACACACACACGCACACACACACACACACAATATTGGCCCAGTCTCCTCTGAAGTTACACTGCAAACTGCCTGTGAGACAGAGTCCAACCACACATGTCCAACACATAGGCCTAATAATAATAATACATTAGATTTATAGGCCTAGCGCTTTTCTACAACTAGAAGACGCTTGCACGCTTACACATGTCCTGCAATACACATGCTGCAGCTGCCCAGCTGCTCACTGTTTGTAAAAGCAAATAAATAGTATTTGCATTTCAATAATGTACTTTCTATACCCTGCTTCATAAACAATACTGACATCCCTGTGCTCCTCCGAGTCTGGGGGTCCGGGGATGTGAGGACAGCGCGAGGACACAGACAGGGAGGCTGCTTCACTTCATAAAGGAAATGGTGGTCAATATTAACAACATAGGAGTTCAAACGCTTAATAACCTTCATTACGTGTTAGAGAAAGAACATAAGAAAGTTTGACAAAGATGAGGCTGTTAAACGGGCAGCGAATTTGCTGTGTGTAGATAGAGAGAAAGACGCTGAGCTGCACCGTGCAGCGATCAGCTGATACGGAGCATAGAGAGAGAGAGCTTTCTTTTATTTGAAGATTGTTTTTGGCCCGGCGCTTGGCCGGTTACCGCTGGTATTAAAAACATTTTGGCGAATGGTTAGGTGGTGCGATAGTCTGTAGCCCACAGGAGCCTGCTCGAGCTGTTTGGTTTTCACCCAACAACGACAACCGACTCACGAAACGCTATGTTGTAGCGTTAATAAACGAAACAATTTAACTAAATTGCTAGTCAAAATACTAATACCAGAGGACCATTTTTTTTTTTTAAAGCAATATTTTTAGTGGCCCGAGCGGGCAAGTGGAAAGTACGTTATGCTGGCCCGGGGTGTCTAAATAGTGCTTCCGGGCCAGCGGGCCATTTATAATGTCGAGCCCTGATGGAGGAACAAAAGTCTGCGTTTAAGTCGTGTGTGTGTGTGTGTGTGTGTGTGTGTGTGTGTGTGTGTGTGTGTGTGTGTGTGTGTGTGTGTGTGTGTGTGTGTGTGTGTGTGTGTGTGTGTGTGTGTGTGTGTGTGTGTAGAGGTGTGTGTGGTTAAAACACATCAGCCTGCGGTCGCTCTTTAGCCTTTCTAATGATTCTGAAGGTAAACACAGTGAAGGCGGTGCGTGAAAAGCACGGCGCGCTCGTCTTCTCAGAGGCTGAGTTAACCCTCCCGCTGCCTCCTGGTGCTGCAGAGATTTCATGAAGTGAAGGAGGTGTTCCTTCTATAAAACAGCTGTCGGCAGCAGATACTGTGAGTGTCACGGACATGCATTCATAGATCAAGGCAGACTGGTGCACACACTCTCCTGTTTTGCCAATCCGGTGCTTAAACAAATATAGCTCTACACCCCTGGCCGACATGTCCTTAAAATTAAGTCCGAGTTCGACATTTTAATTCATGTCCTGCTAACACTGGCAGGACAGAAGGCGACACGCCTGTTCTAAGCCGTGTCCCTCACTCCTCACATCCCAAGCTGCATCCCCAGAAAGTGTATTATGTTGTTACATCGTTTCAGATGTGATGTTTCAGTTGTGCTCTTGATGAGCCATTAAAACTAGGGATGCACGATATTGGTTTTTTGAAACCGATACCGATAACTTCCTGCTTCTCAAGACCGATACCGATAACCGATAATAATATAATATATATATATATTAAATGTACCTGTAGTTTTTGCACACCTGGTGGTAAAAAAAAGACTAGTAGTGAGCAAATGACATGAGCATTACTACTATGAACAAAACAAAGCCAAGAACAGTTTTGACTCTTCAAAGTGACCATATTTATTTTCCCAAATAAAGTTCTTGCCTTTTTCAAAAGCCTCGTCGATAGGTAAAAGCCCCGGTGCCTTTGCAGCTGGCTTTGGATTCGCCGCTAGTTTAGCAGCGCATGCGTCTTCGTACGCTTTTAACACACCATCGTAGCGATGGCGATGTTTCAGGTGACTAATCAGGTTGGAAGTATTATAGCTCGTTGCCTTTTTCCCTCCTCGTGGAACTTCTGCATTTGTTAATACAAATAGCAAGTGAACTATCTAACTCTGAAACTTTGAAATAGTGCCATACTACCGACGACATGTTTGTTTACTGTCCTGGCTTCACGGCCGCACACCATTTACGTCACAGCCAGGCATGAGTTAGGGAGCGCTGGATTTGTGAAGAACTCCCCTCTTCCTAAACCACTAATACCACAGTACTGGCAAAACGGAAGGAGCCGAGTGAAAAACAAGCGCCCCTCATCCCAATCCACCCACACCGCAGTATTTTTTTCTTTTTTTTACCCAAAAAATAAATTGTATATTATCGGGGCTATTAATACTTTTATCGGGTTTATCAGGATGACGTCATAATTCCTAATATCGGACCGATAATTATCGTGCACCACTAATTAAAACAGTAAAACACGTTCAGTTTCCTTTTGCTTTTTGTGTCTCCTGTTCACCAAAACATACCCATCTGTGATGGAAAAAGAAAGTAATCCAAAAGTAATCTAAAAGTAATATGATTGTGTTAAAACACGTAACTGTAACTGTATTCGGATTACTTTCAGAGCCATGTATTCAGTAATCAGTAACTGATTACATTTACAAAGTAACCCTACCAACCCTGGTTGTGATGTGACTGACGTTAGCTAACATTAACTGTAGCTAACGCCGGTGTTCCGGATTAACTGGTTTACAGAGGTGGGGGGCGTGGCCTTCGACTGAAATACACATTTTGATCGCTTCTTCTGTCGTTTACATACATCTTTTGGTATATTTGGCTCGGTAG